AGTGACAGCTAGTGAAAGACATTGACAGTATTAAACTTACAGCAACCGCCGTCTGTCTAACTCTCTGCATTAGCAGGGAGGAACCCGGACGAAACTTTGCCGAAGAGCAAGGTTTCGTTTGGGGAGGTTGACAGCTCTCGAACCCACCTATATTTTTGGCCAGGCCTACAGGCTCGGATTACCCACATTAAACTCGGCCTTGTGCCACATTCGATCCCATGTGGGGGGATAGCTAAATATAGCTAGTGAAAGACATTGAAATTAAATCAAAATTTATATAATCATCATCTAATTTATGTCAGTATAATAACAATCATATATATATATATATATATATATATATATATATATATATATATATATATATATATATATATATATATATGATGATGGCCATGCTGACCAAAACTAGTTGAGGAAACTAATTGAAATAATAAAACAAAAAATATTAATATACAACCTAGTGTGTCTGAAAATTTTAATTTTTTAATATTTTTTATTGTTCAAAACATATATATGAGTGTGTGTGTGTGTGTGTAGCATATACATATAAAGAATATATACAAATATTTCACTTGGTAACATCTTTCCCACAGATGCATTGTTGAAAGCCTGTCACTAGTCTATTACTATTTCCATGGCAAATGTTCAGATGAGCTCAATTCTTTAGTTGTACAAGTTCAGACCTTTACAGATAGTATATGTCATTCTACTTCCACAAAATCAAATCACTGTCATTTTCAAATGAAAGAAGTATGTTTCTCTATGACAGATTTTTCCCAAGAACTGTGACTTTATAGAATAGACTCTCTTGTGGGTGCTTCCTTGGATGCTTTAATCTTGACCTCAAGTCAAGAGTCAATAGTTATCTTCCTTCTTATGATAATTTCCACCTCTTACCACCCTTATTTCACATATATCACACACCTCATTCATCATTACTATTTCAATTGAAACCCTCTACTTTGAACAGCTCTGGAGTCCTGTATTAGGTGCTATTTAGTAAAACAACAAAAAAAGAAAATTATCTTTTAGGAATGAAGATCAAGCTTAATGGAATTTAAATAATTTATTTCCCTTAGACTTAAAATTTATCATTAGCAATTGTCTAGAGTGAATAAGTTTTGTTTATTTCTTTATAATTAACACCTCAAATTTAGCACAAACATGCTCTTCTTGGACGGTATTTTAAACAATTTCACTATTAAAAGAAACATTATGGTGGTGAGAAAGTGACTGAAGCTGGGATGCCAGATTAAGACCAGTAACATTGCAGATTCTTCTTTGGATTTTATCAAGAATCTCTAAATATATAGCAAAAGCACCAAACCATATGTGGCACCAATATTCAAAGTATGAACAAATAAGATTTATAAATATGTAAGATAGATTTTGGTGAGAAAAATTGTCTGGTATGAGATGGTGAACCAACTTTCATAGCAGCAGACATAGCAATTGATTCAATATAATCATTACACTTCATGTCAAGAGGCTATTGTCAAGAAATCACCTACTTGATGAAATGATTGTGTTGAGATTCAAATTTGGATCATCATTGGAATGCTAACATTCTAATCATTTGCCTACATGTCCATTGAACTGACATCTAACGAGGCTCACATCTACTGTTTGATCTTTGTAAACATTCAGCAATCATCAATGACTGTTAATGAGTAGAACATTTTCTGCCTACAGGAATTCAGAGACACACTATTACTTCATAATTACTTTCATGTTAGATGCCATTTTGCCAATAAGCTACAGTCTGAATAAAAAAGAATTATGAGATGTTTGTAAGAACTTTCAGCCTCCACTGACATACCATCAACATCAGCTTCTAATGTTGTGGGCTAACATTAGAAAATAAAGGGCATTTCTTTTTGAGTGAATTTTTTATTTATGAAATTTGTGGCCACTAACAATTCACTCTCATAGGGCGACATACATTGGAAATCTTTTTAAATAGTTCTAATCAGTTTACAAAATACTGCTGGATGGTTGCCTCAATTCAACCACATCTTTGTATAAACATTGCAAGTCAGGCATTTCCTCAACTAAATTGCAACAACTTAAATTGGAATATTCTGATTTTTGATTTAACCCCAAGCTAAGCAGTAAAGCCACTAGTACTCAAGGGGTTACTGGGCATAGATGAATTAGAAAATGGAAACTTTACTAAGGAGCAAGAACAAAGGAAGAGTAATCAGGACAGTAGAAAGAAATTGACATTGCATTTAAATTTTTGAAGATTAAAGTTGGCTGGAAAGTATTGAGCTGGAAGAGAGTTCTGCAATCGAGAAAAAAAATAGATACCCTGGTGAAGAGCGATATTTATTTGTACCATGATACAAAATGTGGCACAAAGCTGAAATGGGAGAAAGAACGGTCTTCAGCTTAATGTTAAACTTAGCTAGCCACAAACACTGACCCAAACATACAACAATATTCCTTACATCAAAACAATGCATTCTTACTTAACATTCTTACTTCATCCACCATAATACCTCAGAAACTTCATGAAGTCCTAACTAGTCCCTATACATACAAATCATATCCTGGTTAAGAGCTCATCTGGATAGTTGCCATGGAAGTATTTATAGAAAAGGTACAAGGAGGAAACTCTACAGTGGAGAAAAAGTGACTGAAGTTGATGTGTTAAATCAAGACCAGTAATACTGCTGATTCTTCTTTGGATTTTATCAAGGATCTCTAGATATATAGTGGGAGCACCCGGCCATATGTGGCCTGTCCTGGGTATGACAATAAATCACATCTCTGTCTTGGGTAAGATGATAAACACATCCAACAGCAAGGCTTTGAGGAGCATGGAACCACTTCTTAATTGCTAGTGTTCTCAGGTCCACCTTGACCCGGGGTGGTAGCACCTGTTAGGGTCCCAGCTATGGGAAAATAGTTAACCCCAAACTGGGGCCAAAACTTAGGTTTTAATACCAGCAATATGTTTTTATAAAAAATTACAAGCAATAAATTTTTGAAGAAAAAATATTACCAGCAATAAATTTTTGAAGAAAAAATATTACCAGCAATACATTTTTGAAAAAAAATATTACCAGCAATAAAAATCTTAAATAAACCATTGAGGTTGATATGTCATAAAACAAATCAGACCAAACCATATGTGGCAGCAATATTCTAAGCATGGATGAATGGCAGACATATATATGTAAGATAGTCAGGAGTGAAAAATTGTCTAGCACAGCACAGTGTCAACTTTCTTAGCAGCAGACCTAGCAATGGATTCAATATAGTGATTCCACTTTTTATCAGCTGATAATGTTAGCCTGAGAAGGCATAATGTGTCACTCTCTTGGAGTTTATGCTGATGAAAAGCAGAAAGGGATCTTTGACATGATTAATAGAAAGCCACCTTTTACTCCAGTTAACAACAGACTGAAGGCTGTTTTTGACATCAGCTGCCAATTTGACCTTATGAAGCTAATTGGACTTACTATCAAGACAGGAATAAATGGTTGTCATTAGTATAGATACCCAGTTGTGAGCAGATTCTAAGAATTGTGGTAAGAATGAGAAAGAAATGATAATTAGTTTTGACATTTTTGATTAATTAACTAAACATTTGAAAGTTCAAACTTCTGCCAAATACACCAGTGACTGGTCATCATAACAAAATTATTCAATAGCCTAGTGGATTAAAGCATTGATTTGTAACTTTGTGACATATTAATTGTAAATTTAATTCCTGAGCAGGGTAATACAGAAAGACTCAGCAGAAACAGGACATGCAATGATAGAGCAATACTAAATAACAAGATGAGACATCCCCAAATGTAGACAACAGAAAGACAACAAGATTAAACAAAGAGTTAGGTTTAAAATTCTATAAAGTTTACCTGGATCATCAGATGCATAAAGAAGCCTAGAGGGCAGAATAGTTGAAATAACAACAAAGATGTGATTAGTGCAAATGTAAATAATATTAAATTTTTATTTTCCAGGAATGAAATTTGACTTTGACTCTTTCCACTAGTGTTAATGGGTCAAGTAGATGTTCCCAAACTTGACCTTTAAAATAATCTTTTCCATGCAATCATTTAACTATATTTTTTGCCAACCTTTCAGATATTTTTTATCTTACTTGATTTAGGTGAGATTTGGGTGTATTCAAACTTGGTGGAAACTGAGCAAGCAATAAGAATAGTAAATAAGAACTAGATGAAATATCTTTAGACTTGATCAATGAAATGAGAACAATCTACTGCTGTAGATTGAATAAGGGCTTCAGTTTAAAATACCCTGTAGGTTACCTGGATCAATATACACCTGATGAAATTAAAATGCTGTGATAACAACAAAGATGAGGACAATAGTCTGTATGTAAATAATGCCAATGACTTTGTCTTTTAACTTTTATGCTCACTTATCATGGATTGTATTAACTAAGTTGTTACTATTCTATGGAAGTCAACTTCTGAAAACCCAATTTAGTTTTCATTCTGTTAAGAGATGTAATGATAGAATATGTTATCAAACAACTCCAGGAGATTGCATACTTCCTCTGTTGACCTAGTAGCAGCAAATACCACACCCATAGAGACTTCTTCTCCTCCATTAGAAATTGCCTTCCAAGCTCTGACTCAACTAAATGTCTAGATCTGACATAGGAACTATGTCAGTCCACAAAGTCATACGTAACTGGCATGGACCCCAATACTAAAACATTTCAAACCATATCAAGAGCAGGAGGAAAGTAGAACCCCAGTCTATTTAATCTTTATCTAGACTATGCCCTGTGCATATACAAGTACAGACATGAAGAGATGGACACTGATCATTTAAACATTCCATACAACATCACAGATGAATCTACTAATAGAAAACTGTTCTTGCTTTCCCACCCAAAGCCAATGTACTGATTATGAGGGGGATATACTGATAACATAGGTATACATGGTTTTTGAACAAAAACATCAACATTTCTCTAAGTGTTCTAAGAAATAAGAGGCTTATGGCTGCATCACATTAAAACACTGGTTATCATACGATCACCGAAGTTAAGCAATGTTGAACCTCGCCAGTACCTAGATGGGTGACCATTTGGGAATACTGGGTGCTGTAAGCTTGGATGTGCAGATGGTGTAATAGATAATGACTCAGAATTGTTAATCAGGGAGCAGAGTTCCAATTTTGATTGGGTTCACTTACATGCAAATACCCTTTGAAAAGGTATGAATCTACCTTTTCTTCCCCCAGCCATGGATCAATTAATAAAACTTGTGTCACTAAACCATTATTATCTCAAAAAATTTTTACAATCTAAAAATATATTTTGGCTTTAAATAACTTAACAGATTTGATAAGCTGTAGAAAATGAATGAATGAATGACTCAAGAAATAGGACTGAAGATAAACCTTTCAAAAACATAAACTATTATCTGGAATTTGAATGAATGCTAAATGTTTCCATATAAGGAAACAGCTAATGTTATAATTACAATTATCATCCTATGATGGATTAGCTGGATACAAGATGATCTAAAATATTGGAGGTGAACTGAATAGTGATACAGGAACATTTGCAAGTAATTTAATTATTTAACTCATCTTGGAGGAGATTGGCAGTTACAAATCAATACCTCAAAGAGTGCAATGAGACATATTCCCTATACAAATATGTATTTCAAAGATTTGTGATTATTCTGTTTTCTGTAATGATTTTCTTTACTTAAGAGGAAAATATTAAAAAGCCTTCCAAGTGAATAGTTGCTTTCAAAAAATGTTACATTTTGAGCAAGTTTCCATAACATTTTTTTTCCCTTATTTTACCTATTCGGTGTTAAGATAGCAGCTGGTTAATAAACAATTTTAAGCACAAATTCTATTTAAGTTTTGACAAAAAGAACTAGGTTATTATTTCAAAAATAGCTCTGTTCAGTTTATGGTGTCACAGAAGAAAAAATACAATAATAAAAATGACTGTAAGTTGTTTCAGAATTAGATGAAATAATCCATGTTGAATATGTCTTCCATTAGTCATATATTTATTGAAAAAAAAAAGTGAAAAAAATGATGCTTTAAATCATTTATATATTACTGGATGTGAAGTGATCATTTTCACTCAGGTAAAAAAGAAAAAATGAAGAATACCACAGTGGAAAGTATTTACAAAATAAATAAATAAAATGAAAGCAGCAAAATAAATATATTTTTTTTTGTAGGAAGGAAAATTAGATTCCTATCATCTAGAGAAGTTGAAGGTTTCCTTTGATGCATTTTGCTGATAATGATTAACAAAGAAAACTCAATATTGATCTCTTCAAATCTTAACTGAAACTGAATTTAATTTTTTTTCTGAATGAAATTCCTCATACACACCTCACCTATTACAATCAAGCACTCACAGATGCTATTTTTAGAATTAACTACTTAGAAAAACTTCTTTTCCTTTATTTCATGATTTTTATTGAAAAACTCTTTTCTATTGTGCTTGTCTATTATGACATGTGACAGGGATGTTGCTTATGAATGAAAGCTTCAATCACTTGATATACTGGTATGAAAATTTTGCTTCATTATAAGTCATTTGTTTCACAAACACACACACACTCACACAGCGATTGAAGGGTCCAATACTAGAAGTAGACTGGATAACTTTACCCTTGTTCACTTTTAGAAATGGACTCAACTGGATGATGCATATGTGCTGTAATGTGGAAAAGAGGTAGGGTAGATGTGGCAGCCAGGGGATGTGGAGAAGATTTAACAGTGTGTGATCCTGGAACGATTATTGTATCTAGAAAGATGGAACCCTCTATCTTCAAGGTAGCAACATCTTTTGGATAACAATAGCAAGATAATAGAAATATACAAATTAGGGACAGATATCAGCTGCACATGAGCACCACAGGCACCCAGAGGTACTGCAAGAAAAGAACTACTCTCAACTGGCAAGGATCATATTCACCCATAAAGGTAATTTTGCATCAGATCACCTTCCAATTCAAGTGCTTCTCAATTCACTGTAGTAGTCAACCAATAGTTGTATCATTTTTGATACAAGGCATAGGTTAGAGTATCTCATCTGAGTAAAAACAAAAACATCACGATTGAACTGTTGAAGACTGGTGCCATATCCTTTGGTCAAATGTTTCCTGTTCTTTTAAGCAGACAAGTTTTGTGTCTGGAAGAGACTTTACATCTCTTTATGCTTGCCATGCTTTCTAGTGGTTTGTTTGAATAAAATAATACCCTCCACATCAAATCATTAACAAGTGATATGAAAATCATTTCAGAAACACTCAGTTGACTTCCACATACTGTATTGCCCCCTCAGCTTACCAAATTTAAATTCAATTAAGTATGCATAAAACAGGTTAGTAAAGCTCTCTAAATTCTTTGCAGTCCCACTCAGCAGAAAATTCTGTTGTGGATAATCCTGGAACTTCTTGGAAAGATATACCAATACAATGACTCCAGCACCTCATAGAAACCTTGCCCTATTTAGGTAAAGGAAGGATCTACACATTATTTACAAACATAACCAGAAGTGAAAAAACATTTTAGACAGCTATCTAATAGTTTCATATACATATCTGCATGAAAAATGATGTAATTTTATGCACAGCAAAATGTATATCAATATATTTACAAAATTGTATCTGTGTGTGTGTGTATGTGTATATATATATATATATATATATATATATATATATCATTTCTTCATTCAAGCATATTTAGTTGAATAGTCTAGACATATTATGTCTCTTTTATTTTAATCCTTTCAAATTTCCAGATCAATTTTTTCGTGTTGTTATTAAACTGATTAAGAAAGATGCTGTAGTTTTAGTTATTTCATGTGCATTGACAAAAAAAAAAAATCACAACTATCTGTTACATTAGTTTTTCTCTTAGAAATTCACACCTCTGAAGATGATCTTGGATGAGATTGAAAGTATTTGGGAAAATAAAAGAAATAACCAAAACTACAGCATCTTTCTTAATCATTTTAATAACAAAACTAAGAAATTGCCCCGTGAGTTTCAGAGGATTAAAATAAAAATAAATTAAAAATAAATAGACATATGTCTAGATTATTCAGCCAAACACACACACACACACACACACACATATCTATATATATATATATATATATATATATATATATATATATATATATATATATATATATATATATAAATAAAAGGTGTATTTAGGCAGCAAGAACTCTTATAAACAAGATCTGCAGCACAATATCAACAAGGTCTGTCTATCTAATTTTTTATATTTTTCAAATCTCCAAATAAGTTATTTTATACAATGCATAAATTTTCTAGAGTTTGTGTGTGTGTTTTTGTTTTTATTTTATATATATTATATATGTGGTTATTTCATTGGTGGCATCAAGTCAGAATTTCAAATGCTATTTTATATATTTTTATTTTATAGTTTATTAGGTAGGCAGGCAGGCAGGCTGGCTATCTTCATTAGAAGACTGACAACACAATCTTCCCCTTAGGTTAAATTAGCTGAACACATGTCCATATTTACAATGTTTTTGCATATGTGCTCATACATATTGCTTATATATGAATATAAAAATATGGCCAAAAATTAATTTCTATATTTGCAAATATGTCCATGCACAATGTCATAAAATGTTAAAAAAGAAATTGTTCACTTTTATTTTTGAGAGATGTGGCTGAATGAGTGTGTCTTAGTTTTACAGATATAAGTTTCATTAAAGACTACTAACAAGTACTGAGATTAAGCCATTATCAAGGATGATTTTTATTTTTAACTGAATGTAAGTAATTTTTTGTGTATGTATCCAGAGTTATAGGAATGTTTTATTTTCCAAACACAGTCAGCACATTGCAGCTGTATTGCTATTATTGAGTGTTGGCTTTTTCCTTTTTTATTGTTGGTGCTTCAATTAGTTTTAGTCTTTTTTTACATGTAGATGAGGCTATTCTTCTTATATTGGACATAGCACTCCATGTCTATCGAGAAGACTCATGTTACACTTCTCTGACCATAACTCAATTAGGATCCATTTAAACATACACAGAAACCTACTGAAGTCCATCTGCAACATACTTGTAGAAAACAGAAATAATAATCTCATCCACATGATGTGGTGTAATGGTTAGCAAGCATGTCTCAGATCAATTATGACTGAATACAGTTTTCTTCTTGCTGGGTGCTCCCTGCTTTCAGCCTTGTGCCACATCTAAACTATGCTTAGTATATCACTACATATGTTTCATTAAAGATGACAAAGTACTGCAATTAAGCATTTTATTTAATTTTTCTTGTGTTTGAACAAGTGTTTTCTTTTCTGGACAGTGTGTAGAAACTGTCCAAATGTTCTGTAGTTCTGTAAGAAAATCATCCTTGATAATGGTTAAAAGTATAGCCATAAGCAATTGGGATTATAGAACATTTGGATAGTTTCTATACACTATGTATCCAGAAAAGAAAACATTTGTTCAAACACAAGAAAAATCAAATAAAAAAAACTTAATTGCAGTACTTTGTCTGTTGTCTTTTAATGAACCATGTATAAAAGAGGAAATATGCCTAAATACACAATTTATATATATATATATATATATATATATATATATATATATATATATATATATATATATATATATATATGCATGTTTAGCTGTAAAAGCTAAGAGATGTTCTTTAAAATAATAAAAAATAATGTTGGATTAAAAATAAAATATATTGTATTGATGTATGTATTCTATCTATACATAACATTTGTGTTTGGGGATATATTTGCTCAATGCAATATCTTTATTTAGAAATAATTGAAATAATATTCTTGCCCAAATTGATTTGAAAAATATGAATAGAAAACTTTCTCTCTCTCTCTTTTTTTTTTTTTTTTTTTTTGGATAAACAATTCACTTTATTATTTAGGAAACCTCAGTTATTTCTTTTAGACTTTACCTGTTTCCAACCATTAATCTAAACTTATTGTTGTGCTGAAGAATTTTTAGTCTTCTTTGATAAGCAGATCTAATGTCATTTCTTCAAATGTACCTTGATATTAAAACACATTCAATAAAATGTCATGTGAGACAGCCTTCAACTTTGAAAAGAGATA